GAGGGTTGCGATCCGTTGCCGGACACGAAAAAAGACAAAAAGGAAAAAAAAAAAAAAGAAGTTTTTCTTACTTGCTAAGGTTGAGCTAATTTGATATTTTATTATTGTAAGTAAATCAATGATTCTAAACCACTGATTTTACACTTGTTGTGTTCGGTTTAGTACAAGAAGCTCAGTCAATCTTTGTGAGTGTACAAACTATCTTATAGTACATGGGGCTCTTGGATGTATAAGGTTAAGATGGTGAGTCACAGGCACCAATCTTACGTCATTCAGTTTCCCTTCCTGGGTCACCCTTACTTCAAAGGCCAGAAGTATTTCTGTTTTGCTTCCTTGGTTAAACACAATGCCACTTGTGTTGGACGTGCAGAGGGAGAGAGCATACCTAGGGTTGCAGAGTGGAGTAGGGGAGGGGGGAAGGGAGAGAAGAAAAGGGGAGGCGGAGGGAGGTCAGGGATTAACTGGGTGGGGGACATGGGGAAAAATCGCAATTTGTGGTAATGGGCATGCTGATAGTATTGATCTGACCACCACATCTTGGGCACGAGTGGTGACGGTCAGCTTTGTACCCCATGAATATATATAACCAGTAAAAACAAAACAAAACAAAACAAATCAAAAACACAATGCCACTGTTGACCGCCTGAACCTGGAATTTTCTGGTTCTTGACTGTACTTGTTCATCCACTTTCCTGACAACCATCCCCAGGACCATACCTGAAATATTTCTGCTTTAAAAGTCTCTGAATTTCTTCAAAATCTTGCCCCTTCATGTATGTGCATGTCGCTACTGTCTAAATTTCATTTCTCATTGTCTTCAGGAAACAAATGTTAACATAAACATATCTACAGATTAATTATATTTTACCTACTCTAACCCTAGCCAGAATGAGGTTTTATGACCCAACACTCAAAATTTAATCAAAATTAAAGTCAAAAACCTGGGTAAAATATTGAAAACATATAATAAAAATAATGAACTAATACTTTGATTAGGTATGTCTCATTCAATGAGGCACTGATTCATAAATTGACAAAACATGCAATAGACAAAACACGAAATATAATTACTAAACAGACATATGGGATAGTGTTCAAACCTCACTATTTACCCAAAGAAGTGTAGCATAAAATATTAAATTAGGAAAATAAAAATACTTGAAATAATAATACCTAGTCTTCCAAGGATGCCTAATGGCAGTCATGTACATTACAGCATGAGTAATATCGGTACAGCCATTTTGAAAAGCATTTTGTAACATGTATAAAGTCACAAAAATATTTTGATTCTTTGACCCAATCATTCTATTTCAGTGTCTATCAGAGACACTATAAAAATAGAAAATGCACAATGATGTCCTCAATGTCCAGCACCAGGGAGGAATAGTAAATAAATTATGAAAATCATACTAGCTTGCATATTATGAAAATATGTTACTATTGCTCTGAAGATGAGTAATGTTAAAAGTGTTCTTGATATAATTGTTTTGGATTTTTTAAGATTATATATGCATGATCTCTATGAATAGCATCTTCTGTGTACTTATGTAAATTGGAAGTCTAGGAGTCTTCCATGATGTGTCTCTGTCCCTATCCCCCCCGAAGTCACTCATCACTTGGGGCTCAGTTTTATCCCCTAAGTCACTCTGAACACTTTCTACTTTTCTTCAGCTTCACCACCACCACCATCCTGTTCCAAGCAAACACCTCTGTGTCTTAAATCCTGCAAGTACCCTGACTGGTCTCCTGTCCCCCACTGGAATCTACTCTCCACCTGCAGCTAGGATGACCTTTTAAAAATGCAAATCTGACATGTAATCCCCATGCTAAACCACCAATGCTTTCTCATTATTCTAGGACCAAAGGCCAGGCCACTGAACTTGACCTCTAATTCTGCATGATCTAGCAGCTGCCTCTCTCCTCTCTCCTTCAGTTAGTTAGTTTTTCCCTCCATCTCCACACTCCAGCCACGTGGGCTTCATCTCAGTTCCTTGCTTCTTTCCCTGGGACACTCATTGCTCCACAGCTGCTGCTACTCTGCCTAGAAAGCTCTGTCCCAGAGCCCCCTGCCCACTCCCCTTTGTCTCATCCTCCATCCTTCATCCTTTCAGTCCTAAGCCATCTTCTCTGGAAAGTCTTCACTGCTGCCTCAGACCAGGTCCCGTTGTTATATGCTCTCTTAGCTGCTATTGACTTTTTTATCATTTGCTTCCCCCACCCCCTCACTACCACCCCAGCAGAATTTATTTGCAGTATCCCATAAAAATAAATAAATAAATTCCACGCGGGCAGGGGTTTGACTTGTTCACTGCTCTTTATCCAGGGTTCAAACGTGTGTTGAATGAATAAATCATATTTGTTACCTTACATCTGTATCATTATTGGATTCACGTCACTCTGCCACTAGAATGTAAGCTCTCTAGGGTGGAGCCATGTCTGCTCTGCTCACCATTGTATCCCAGCATCTGAACCACAGGAGACCTTCCGCAGGGCTTATTTATACTTAATAAATTTTAGTACAACCATGTGAAAAACTCAGAGGAAAAGTCACACCAAAAGAGCAATAGTGATTGTGTTAGGATTGTGACAGTATAACTGATTTTTTTTCTGTCTCCAAAAAATATATATAATAGAGAAATAACAATATAAATAAAAATTCACAATTAAGCAAAAAGAAGAAATAACTCCATATATTTTACGTATTGAATAATCAAAAAGCTAAAATAAAATTGAAAATAATAAAATAAGCTAAAAATAGAAATGATACCTATAATTATTCTACTCTAAAAGATCAGATGTTTTCATTTTTTCCCTGGTGTATCCCAGTGGTTGCATCATTTTTACATAGCTGTAATCATAGAAAGAATGTTGCATTTTGTTTTTCCTTCTTCGTGATATGTCATATGCATTTCCCCAGAATTCTACATTGCCTGTGTAATAATTACTGTTAGTAAGTATATGATCTTCAGTTAAATTAATGTACTTCTGGTGGGGTTATTGCTTTAAGATATATTTCCTGGAATAGAATTCAAAGTGTATGAGTACTCACGGGTAAATACAGATTTCTGACTTCATTGGCCAGAAGATGGAAAAGAAACAGGCAGTAATGGATATGTGTTCAAGTGTGGAATGCGCAATGGGGTAGGATTTAATGAACTGTGATTTTTTTTTTCATTTTATTATTTTTGATTGACACACAATCATTGTACATATTTATGGAGTATAAAGTGATATTTTGATACATGTATACAATGTGTAGTGATCGAATCAGGGTAATTAGCTTTTCCATCACCTCAAACATTTACTATTTCTTTATGTTAGAAATATTTCTAAAAGAGTCAATGTTATCCCAATACTGTGGGGAAAAAAAAAAACTTATGTTTACATAGAGTGTTCCTAAGTCTGTCTTGCCTGTGCCCTGAAATGAGATGGATGTGTGAGAAGCGAAGTAAGGTGGTATTGACTTTGGGTGAACCAACAATTAGGGAGGGCACTGAGGAAGCCGAGGTCACGAGGTCACGTACAAAGGAAGGACATTAGTAAATGAGGTGTGAGAAAGTTGGAGGCAGCCAGTACTAGTTAGAGGCAGATACGTGGGATCTCTTAGCCTGTTCTGCTAGTAAGGAAGGTAGCCATAGAGACAGGAGTGACCAGATGTCAGAGTGTAGCAACCGCAAAGAGGAGGCACCAATGCAAATTCTATGGGCTGCACATAATGAATGCTGCCTAATGCTTTTCAAAATGCAAGTCTGGGCAAGATGACCTTTGGCTTCCTTCTCGAATATTTTTATAAAGTGGCAGTATCGTGGCCCCAAGCAAGAGCCATCTCAGTTCATTGCCTTTAACCCCAAATTTGCCACTTCACAGACACCTTGCTCACCACCTTCTTAGTAACACAAAGACCCTAACACTTGTGCTTTCCAGCAGAACTGGACAAAGGATAACAGCTGCTGAGTTACATGAAATACTTCCCCAAATAGCAGAACTTCCCAAGCTTGCAACCCAACAACAAGCCTGACTTCATTAGGGCTATGCAAAACCAACCACTGTATAAGCCGTGGCATCAGGTTCTTCCAACTCCCTTTTCTGCTTTTTTTTTTTTTTTTTAACCTCAGTCCAGGAACATCTCTCTCTAGATTAAGCACCTCTCATTTCCAAACAGTTCTAGGGTCCTCCTGAAATAGAGCAAAATAATATACTTTGAAAAAAATGAGTCACAACTGGTGATTTAATTAGGGACTTATAGCACCATTTTCATGTGAAAGAGGATGACGCAGGAAGGGGCAGAAGAAAAGGAAAAAGCAGTAATGACGAAATGTCAGCCCCGTATTCTGAGGGTGTGTGGCAGACGCATTTGTGCCCTGGATGGCTTTTTCTGTCCATCTCCAGTCACACTGTCCTTTGCTACCTGAGCATTAGCCCTGAGCTCATTCACCAGCTTTTGTGTTTTTGTATTAAAGAATTCCATTATCTAAGACCATTACATTTAACAATTTCTTTTCTGCATGTTGGCTTTTTTCTTTGACCACTGGATGGACAAGAATCCTATCTGTTATATTCACTGTTGAATCTCCATTTTCTATAGGGGACCTCAATAAACATTTAATTGATTAACATTCCTCAATAAACATGTAATGGATTAACGAATGAATGAGTAATCAGAACTAGAATGTTCTCATTTCTACGTGTCATTAGAGCATCTATCATTCAATTGTATTGTTAGGTCAGGTTTTTAGCACATTGCTCAACCCAGGTTGGCCTCAATGACTTGATGATCATTTTTTCTACATGCAAAAACTTTTAGGTTGTCATGGTATTTAGAAGAATACATATGAAATATATACTCAGTGGTGAAAAGGAAATTCTGACTAGAGCCAATTTTTTTTTCTAGATTTATAGTTGGTGCTGCTGCTTCATTAGGTAAAATTTAGCCCATCACATAAGTTTGCACTAGATGTGAATAAATTTAAAAGTGCATTGATATTTTTGTTTGATTTCAGCAAACTTCAGAAGACAAAGAGGGATATCAGATGGCTTCAAGGAGTGACCGGCGAATGGTTTGAAGAAATTCAAAGAAAAAAGTTTTGCAATGACACAGATGTTAGCCAAATGTTAAAACAACCACTTACATGCAGACTAAGGAAGGAGATGGCAAAAAATGGTGAGAAAAAAATTTAGATTTAATTTTTTTTTCCTGTTTCTTGTGGTATAGTATTGTAGATAATGGCTCAGTGGATCTCCAATTTTACCAATCCGTATTTTAGGACTATTATTATAAGCCACAGTAGTTTAATAGCACAACATACACTAAAAAGAGTGAACTAAAATCTCACTGCAAGAATGTCTTGTGGGGGGTGTGTTTTTAGAATCAGGCAAGATAGTGTAGTGGTTAGGAACACAACCATTGATGTCAAAAAAGGGCTAGATTCAAATATCCACTCTGTCTCTATCTATGTGAATCTGTCCAAGTTTTTTATTCTCTATAAACCTCAATTTTCTCATCTTTATATGGGTATAATAATACCTACCTTATAAGTGGTAGTGAGAATTAAGTAAAATTATGTGTATAAAGTATTAAGCTGTAAGGTATTAATACAGTAAGCACTTAAATAAGTGGCACAGTGAGGATGATGGAGGAGGAGGAAACAGGAGGGGAGGAATAGAGAAAGGGAGAATCAGGGGAGGCAGGGGGAAGAGGGGAGGGAACATGGTGAGGAGCTGCCACCCTTCTGATACTTTTGTAAACTGCATATGTGAATTCTTTTTTTTTTTTTTTTTTGTCTTTTGTCTTTTTCCGTGTCCGGCAATGGATCGCAACCCTCAGTGTTGCCCCCGTACCGGACCGGGAACCGGCAATGGGATTGCAACCCTCGGCGTTGCTCCCACGCCTCGCTCAGCCAGTGAGCGGGAACCGGTCTGTATGTGGGATCCGAACCCTCGGGCGGGA